GCAGCAGAATCAAGAACCTGCTCACCGCCACATCCGCCGAGCTGCCGAGCGTTGTAACTCGCTCACCTGTCGCCGGTCAATCTAGTGGCGCTGTGGTCGCCCTTGCCTCTCAACCGACCGGGCAATCCAGCTGAGAACCCTCTGCACGGCGCGCCGGAAAAAGAGCTCGGGCTGACCCATCCGCCGAGTTAGTCGCCGAGCTAATTACCGAGCATCCAACTGACGCCCCCGCCCCAGTACCGGCATGGCGCCCCCAGTTGAAGCACCGGGGTCATGACATCCCGGCAACGGCTTCGATCAAGGCGGACAAAGAGCATCTGCTCGCCTTTGATCTGTCCAAAGCATTCCTACTACCGAGCGACGTGGTCGGCAGCGACCACGTCCCTGACACTCGGTTGGTAAAGTCATCAGTGAAGTCCATGGCCAGGGTAAGTCAATGCAGCTCTGAAAATTTTCCCAAGTGCTTGCCCGGTTTCGTTTCTAATCAAGTTTGCTTTTTTCAGGCCATTCAAAAACAACACCTGGTTTTGGAACGCATCCACCGGCTTAGGCAAAAGGCAAACGACACAGCCAGTCAGGTTGAGAGCCTTCAAGCCGAGCTCAGCCGGGCTAAGGCTTCCCTTGAGATGGCCAACGCTGATAATAACAGACTGCTCGGTCAGCTGAATGCGGCCGAGAAAAAACAAAATGAGCTCCAGATCGAGGTGGACACCCTGAAGAAGTCGAAAAAGAAAGCTTGCCGGGCTGCCAATAACGCGGGTTTCAACGAGGCTGAGCAGAGCTACAAGAAGCAAGTCTTTGCGACACAAGACATATACTTCAAGGCTGGCTGGAAATCCGCTTGCGAACACCTCGGCCAGGGCTCTGACACCGACGTATTCGCCAACCCTCCTCCGGCTTCGCTACCGGTCTACCTCGTGCCTTATGCAAACGACGTCTTCAGCGCTTTGCAGGCTGAGGCCGAGGAAGGACTCGAAGAAGGAGACGGGGAGACAGACTCTGAAGAAGAAGAGGCCGAGGTGCAGGAGCAGCCCGGCAATGAGGAGCCCGGTGCCCAAGATACCAGTCCAACCATTAACCTGGAAGCCGGCGAGGACGAATTCACCAATCTATCCCCCTTAGTTTAGTTTTCTTTTCTTTTTTGTATTTTTGCTTCCGACTCTTTTGATGTAACCGGGCTCTGTCCCCACCTTTTGTAATGATTTTCTTTTCAATGAGAAACTCAAATTTTTCTAAGTGTTTGCACGGTAGTAATCAATTCCATCTTCAGCAAAATATCTCGATATAACTCATCGTTTGAACACTTTGTTGACCGGAATCCATAACACGGTCGAAGCACTTCAGCATAACAAAACAAATTCATGAACCGAAATAACCATCTCGGTTGTAACAAAGTTGAACAAATCAACACTTCCAACCGAAGTACATCATCTCGGTTGGGAAGCCTAAGTCGGACATGACCCCAATTCTTCCAACTGGAGTACATCATCTCGGTTGGGAATCCTAAGTTGGACAAGACACCAACTCTTCCAACCGGAGTACATCATCTCGGTTGGGAATGCGAAGTTGGACAATACACTAACTCTTCCAACCGGAATACATCATCTCGGTTGGGGATCCTAAGTTGGACAAGACACCAACCCTTCCAACCGGAGTACATCATCTCAGTTGGGAATGCGAAGTTGGACAAGACACCAACTCTTCCAACCGGAGTACATCATCTCGGTTGGGAAACCTAAGTTGGACAAGACACCAACTCTTCCAACCGGAGTACATCATCTTGGTCCGCAACATTAAAACAACAGTCCAAGTGCTAAAGCAAAATTACTTCTATAAATTGACAAAAAGAATTACATGCTGTGGTGCAAGCCAAAAAATTTCTTTGCACAAGAAAAGAAAGCAAAAGCTTAAAAATAATACAGTTTCAAGTTGGCCGCATTCCATGGCCGGGGTATGGCTCTTCCCTCTAAATCCTCCAAGTGGTAAGCCCCCTTGCCAGCCAGACCAGTGATCTTGTAGGGTCCTTCCCAATTTGCCCCTAGTTTGCCTTCTCCTGGCACCAGGGTGTTGCCCATAATCTTCC